TGATCGCTGGTGCTGGACGTCTCAAATCACTTCGGTGAGGCCGGGGCCCAGACCTGCTGGGGGACTGTTGTGCTGGCCGCTCTCTCGCCACAGGGATCCACAAGACGGTCCAGACACTGCATCTACCACAATACCGGTCTGGTCCTGGAGTGATCTAGCCACTCTCACGGGGACCAACCATTCAACACACACCCCAATAACCATACCCCATGCTCAGCCCAACATCATAGGTTTAACACACCCGCATTCTCCACCAGGCAGCCTCCAGCACCACTCACGCTCACTGACACACCCTGCACGCACCAAGACGTGCCGTACACACATGCCGGTGCACTTGTGCAGTGTTATTTTATATCAGTGGGTGCTTGGTAACACACCACCTCCTCCTCCTCCAATCAGGTGCTGAATATTCCAGTCTCCTTGGTGACGGTGCGTGCCACTCATCCAAACTGCTACAATCTTTTACACAAGGGCAATCATTTCTCCCTTTTAAGGACTGTCCCTTGCACACCTGTCAATCACACTACTTTTCCCACCAACACGCTCACTCATGGAGAAGTAGCACAGGAGTCAAAAGTTCACTCCTAGGGTTTCTGAACCAGGCCTCAATGGGCACGCTTGACCATGAACAGAGCAAACCAAAACCGGAGATCTGCACACTCAGCGTATCCAGGATCCTCCTCCGGAAGAAACAAGGGACCACCGCCCATCACCTGGCTCCAGTGCCACTCTTCCAGCCCAATGTTGCATGCTGAGTGGTGGCAGGGGCAGTCCCTGGCGGCTGGGTTGTCCTTGTCATCGGTGGCTGGGCCAGCCATGGCAGTGGCTGCTCTTCTTGCCCCCTCCCAAGCTGGCATGTGGGACTGATGCCCTGCACCCACACCCTAGGTATGTCACCACATCCTTTCTCCAGCTACAACCCACTTCCACGTGTCCAGGCCCAGCAGATCCCCCACCTTCTTCCTTCTGCTGTTTTTCTCACTGTCTAAAATCTGCACTTAGCAGTGAGACCTGAGAACTGGGATCTAACTGCTCAGTGTGGATTTGGATCCAGCCAGGAATGGGCTCCAGGCTTGAGATTTGGATTTGGATGGGGTTGAAGGATGGTGGGCATTTGGATCAAGTTCATCTTGAGGTTTGTTTCACAGAGGTACAGGACAGTAAGTGCCAGGTTTGTGCATCATGCCCAGGCCTGGGGAGCCCAGATTCAAGGCTCAGTCTTTCCGCTCTAGAATCCTGCACCTTTCCCATGTGGGCAATAGGATGTCTCCCGCTGTCAGGAGTCACAGGTTTCCTATCCTGTTTATATGCCTAGTCCCTGGGGTTCGACGTCACACTTCCTGATATACACAAAGCCTAGACATCATCAAAGGCAATTTGTGCAACCCAGGTACTATTTGGATCACACATTCCCATTGTTTCCAGAAGAACAATAGGACGTAAACCTGGCCGGAGGGCGCACCAAGCCAGGCATTTCATTTCAAAGGCAGCGTGCATCTGAGCGTGTGCAGCCACACTCAGCCTTGTGCCACCTCAAAAACCAAGTGAGCCCCATGATGCTGAGTCAACCACCCAGAACATGTACATCTGGTAGGTATACACTGAACTAGATTTGGATTTCTCTCCATCCCAATTGCCTGAATCGGTAGCAGATGACCTAAAATTGAAAGCTCCATAGACGGTGACTGGGAGAAGAGCACTTGAGTCGCATTAAGGGTGGGCTCTTGGTTCAGAGTCATGGCTTTTGGCTTGGATCACAAAAGTCAGGACTAGATTACTTGTTTCCCTATCGTTAAATGGAAGGAATGTCTCAGCTCCATGGAAAGGGCTTGTCAGCCTGAACACGTGAGAAAGCACAAGAGACTGAAATAGGTGAAGGATAAATCCTGTAAGCAGCCCAAACTGCCCTAGGGCAAAGGGCTCATTTTGGAAGAGGGCAGTCTATCATGGTGAATCCTCCCCAAATGGATATTTCTGTTCTTTACCCACAGGCTTTTGACGCTGTCTCGATCTTGCACTAGCAGTGTATGCTTCTTGAGAAGCAGCCAGCTGATAAGGGAAAGTTAGGAGCTTTGCACCTAAGTGGGAACCGGAGCTGGGCCAGCTTAAATTACTCGGCTCTGTTTTGGGTTGATGGTCGCCTCTGGCACCTGTGGTACAGAATTAGGAAGGATGCCTAGATGTGCTTCATACAAAAAACTAAGACTCTTGGTTCCAAAACGATACCTTTTATTAGACCAACTGGAAAATGGCAAGAAAATTGTCCTTTCCTGCAAACTTTTGGGATCAAAGTCCCTTCGTCAGGCTCTGGGAAAAGTGTAGATGGTACAGGATGGGGAAAGGTCCCCATAGGTAGGAAATAAACATTTTTGCACAGAGGTAGCTGAAGATGGAAGGCTGTCCCTCTGGGTCCATGAGAGTGTCTTTGTGATGTGCTTCACACACTTGAGACTGTAGGGTGAGAAATATCATGCTGGCTGAAAACTTGGCAGAGACGCACCCACAGCAGCCGATCCCAAATCTGGGGGCAGAGCTGACCTGGGTCATCAAGGGGGTGTGTCGAGCCAGGGAACCACTCCTGTTTTGCACTTGACACTCCAGCAATTTGGCAGGGATTCTG